TCCAACATTGTAGCAGTGCCTCCAAGGAAGTAGAGAGCACCAATATTTAAATGTGTCAGTCTACCACTGTCACTTAATAAAAGTGTACAATGAAGCTCAAATTCTACATTACATAACGTAATTGGAAATGTCTTAGAGCAATATGTTGTACTACTTCTCTTCGGAAGTTTGGGCTAAGTGAAAAGAACAATACTGATTACTCTTGCTAAGCTGGAAGTGAGAGCAATGGTCAAATAAGGACAAGAGCACTTTGGAGATGTCTGAGCCACTAGAGCTACCAGAAGGAAAAGCCTGAGGAAGTAAGCAGTTTTGTAGTGAGTGTAGCTAGGATTCAGCTACTTCCTTCTACCCAGATAACATCTTTACTTTAACATCAACAGTATGTATAACAAGGTGCTGGAGTAAAGTGCTGAATGTCCAAACTCTTTGCTAGATGCAGTTAAGCTTGCTATGTTGCCTACAACTCACTGTAGCCAGAAAGTTTGGGGAAAAAAAAAAGAGCCATATCAAAAATAGATTAGTGGATGATATTGCAGAAAGGTGATCTTTGGACTCTGATATAATATTAATTGATAACAAGATGTATTGCTTTTACACAAGACCTCACTACTTCATTAATCTGCTGCGAAGTTCCACTTAAATCAGTGCAGCTGTACTGATGAGAATTTGAAATTGAATCTGCTCAGTTTTTGCTTTTGAAATTAATGAGAATGAGAGTAAAATTCCAGTGTTAAAATGCATGGCAATTGTCAGGCATGACTGAGAATTATCTGGTCTTGTTGCCCCCAGTCACAATGGGGAAAAATGATTGCCAAAATGTGGAAGATATGCTGGTTGTGAAAGTTCAAATGGTACACTTAAAAGCATTTTTAATCTCTTTAGGTGGTTTGTTTATATATATATATATATATATATATATATATACACACACGTGTATATGTATATATGCGTATATATATATATATGCATACCCCTGAAGAGGTGAAAGATAAGGGTGATTTTACTCTGTTTCTTACATAGTCTTTTATTTTCTTGCTTTTTGCTGTTATCCTAATGTATCCCCACACCTTTAGTTACTATATTTCCATTAAAATGAAGCAGGCAATATCACTTTTTCTTAATTACTTACAAAAAGGAAGAAATTACTGAGAAATTAACGCTCTTAGTACATTTTTTTTATATGTTTTCATGCCAGAAGATCTTTTCAATTTTAGAAAAAAAAAAAAAAAAAAAAAAAAGAATTCTGCATGGTGAAACTATTTGTATAGACACTATTGACTTCTAGTTCTTTTAGTTCCTGAACATTAGCTGAGCTCAGAAAACTATATGTGTGATTTGGGTCAGCTGCGCACTTATGAAAATATTAGCTTATAGTTGACTATGACTGTTCTTACAGAGCAAAAGGCCATACAAGTATATTAATAGTGATTCATGGTGAAGTATGGTGCTGCACCAGTTTTGTCACTAAACTGAAAATGATAATATAGTAATAAAGAAATTTACACTCGAAAAGATTACTGATCATGTATTTTTGTTGGCACTCAGTTTATTCAAATGACTTACTTAGGAAATAAAGCTTTTTTTTCTTTTTTTTTAATCCTATTAATCTGTTAAAACATATTCCAAAACATCTAAATTCTTCTTTCAATGAAAGAAATATCTAATAACCTTTGACAGTAAATATGCTATGGCTTGTGCAATGACACCGCAAAGTTCTTGTGAATTTTACTACAAAATCATAGTATTTTTTTTTTTTTTGCATGCTATCTACACTTCTTCTTAAGGTAATAATTTAATTATTGATGAACAATAGTCACGAAAAAAGGAAATTTATTGCTTTGTATGCATTCTAAATGCTGTTGTGACTTTAAAATCTTCTCACAAGTGTATTAACACTTTTCCACAGTTACGTGTGGCATGTGGTAGTGAATTCAAAAGTTTAACTATAGATTTCACAGAAAATTATCCTTTTTTTTCTCTTTTTTTTTTTTTTTTTTTGTTTTGTATCCACTACTTTATTGTACTGCCACATTGTTTAAGAATTATTAGCCAAGAAGGTTGTCTAGTTTTTATTGTCTGTGTAATTGTATTAGCCCCTCTGAAGATGTAATTCTTTTCTGGTCATTTTTGCTTCCTGCTCTCAACAACCTTGGTCTGTTTATTCAGATGATTGTTAGGAACCAAAATAAAAGTCTGAAGTTATATTTAGGATGGGGAGATGAACCTTGGACAAGTGACTTCCATTCTGTTATTTATATTGCAGAAAGATTTACAAGTGATTCAAATTATCGCTTCTTTTTGTCTATGCTGAATTTAAAATGATCATTTTTTTGCCCAATTGTCCAAGCAAAGAGTAAGTCCCAGTGACTTCTGCACAAACTTAAATCACATTGTCTCTTCAAATTTTGTCACTTCATGCTTCAGTCACTTTTCTGGAAACGCAGTTTTCTCTTTCAGACCTTTATGTGCGGTTAGAAACAGTTGAGATAATTCACTTGCATATTATGAGCTTCTGATTAATGTTGACTTTTGAACTACCAAAAGACTATCAGAATAGTAGGTGAGAAGAAGATCAATACTGTAAGATTGGAATTATATTGTAAAACTCTTGAAGGAGCTTTGAAAAGTAATAGCAATAGGTATTCCTGACACTGAGGTCTACTGGGCTGTTTAAGAAAATTGTGGAAGATTTCAGGGCTGGTTAGAGTTAGGATTAAATAGACAAAATAGTGAGACATCTGAAATTGAAAGCTTTCAGACACAGAAGCTGTCCAGATGACCTTAATAAGGCCTTTTTCGTATTTAGCTTCTTTGATTGTATTTGAAATTATAAATAATACAGTGTGTGTCTGTGGATTAGCTGTTTCATAAAGAATGCCATGTCAGAACAAATAAGATTGTAAGTGTTGGGATGACTGGCTGCCCATTCTGCAGTACAAATTTCTGGATAAGGAAAGCAACCTTTTGTTCAGTGAGGGCTTGTAGCAAATCACCTTAGTCTTGACACATGAAACCAATTTAGACAAGCTCAAGAATGTGATAACACTTCATATTAATATGTGTAAAAGCCTTCTTATTTGGTTAATTATTGTTTTGTTATTATTGGTCCCAGGTGAAATGGTACTCTGTGTGATAGATATTCTGTAAATTATATTAAAAGATAATATATATTCTAAAAAAAATTGCTGTCTTTTTATCCCCATTTTGCAGATGAGGAGCTTTTGACCAGTGACTATAGAGAAGGACATTTACAGATGAGCATCATGAAAATCATTAGATGCCACCGTTAGGGCAGAAAAGTCAATCTCTCCTTACTTACCACAGGGGGAACATGGAGCACTTAGCTTAGATTTATTGCTTGTTTCTCAGGAATTTTAGTTAGCAGTTTAGTGACAGCAGTTATGGTGACAAATAATTATTTTTTGTGTCCTGCTAAATAAATTTGAGGTTCAAACTTTTCTGATTAACTCTGAGTCACATGATGTTGTTTTCTCTACAGTAATTATTATTTCTGATGTGAATGCCTGCAGAAAGTAAATGTGTCATCTGTTTCCTCTGTCATTTGGTTAAAAACTTCAAATCACTTTTTTTGACCACTCATTCTACAAAAATAAAATTATATTGTTTTACTTGAAAGATGAATAAAAACAGATCCAACATAAATTTGATTAAGAATCTCAGTAGATGTTTATTGTTGTTGCAGTGTTCCTAGAGTATGATATGATAAAACTTTCATTGCTAGTATAGATTCCAAATCTTCTCATATGGTTGATATTGTAATGCAATTTTATCCATTTGCCATTTGTGTGTCAGACCTCCATCAGTAAATATGATATCTTGTGAACTCCTCTCTATAAATACTATTCACAAATAAATATTTCCATGGATAAATCTGTGCAGAAAATTGAGACAACTGGCTGGTATTGTAATTCTTGTCAAAGAAGCAAAAGGAAGCAGATGAGGATAGTCCTAAAAGTTGGCATACATTGACTGGAATCACTTGAGCAAATCAGCCTGAACCTTTGTATACTAAGGTGTAGTTTCTGTAATATCTTAGAAGCAAAACTCAGTAGAAAATACACCTCAGTCTTCTTTCAAGCTACTTTTTTTCCATTCAAATTTGAACTGTCATCTTTAATATTATTTGTTTTACTACAAGTGAAAGGCAAATAATATCTTTTAAATGAATTTCTTATGTTGTTTTTTTTTTTTTCTTCTACTGCAAGCATTGAGAACTTGCATTTATATGCTTTGCTACTGATTTTATCTCTGTCTTTTAGAGTCCTTTCTGTAATTAATTGGCATTCTTTCTCTACATTTTATTTAAATTGCTACAAGTACTTCTTAAATAATCCCAGCCTGTTTGGGTTTTGTTCTTTTCTTTTTCTTTCCATGGTGATTGATTGCCATCTGGGGGCTAACCTGAGCCCACCATGCTAATTTCACATACTATAACCATTTACTGCTATTGTCCCTAGGGTCTGGAACCACTTTATCTCTCAGCTTACAGAACATCATATGAGATAGCCTTGTGTTAGGAAACAGCTACATCAGCTTCTAATTACTCAGCTCACACTGTGTTGTATGCTGGTGTACCTTGAGAAGCAGCATGCAAAAGCGCATTTGTTAAAGTCCTCAGATGGTTAACATTGTGCATAACCTCCTCACAAATTACAGCCTCAGCTGTAGCACATCCATTAGTCTGGAAGAATGAAGATTCCCAAGTGGCCTTGGTGCCTTTCCCAATTCCCCTGCGACCCACCAATCCTCTCAGTGCTTTCTCTGCGTGTAGGGAGTGTTCAGAGCTAATCAGGTCAGTGATCATCTCTCGGCTCAGGGGACATGACAGGAGCCTATCACGGCAGTTACGCGATCTCCCAGACCCGAGCATGCTTGCTAAGAATCTCATGTGAAGAAACATAGCCTTGGTGCTTCTTCTCTCACTCCCTAGGAACCTCCGAGGATTTCAGCTCATCTTTCTCTCTCTCTCTCTCCTTTAGACAGTGAAGAGTTCAACACAAACAAAAACCAGGCAGAGCAGCATGCAGCTACCCGGAGTGTGTTGATTGAAACTTAGATTACCCCCAGATCACTGTTGATTTGACTGATGCACCAGCTTTACCAGAGAAAAGATTTCAATTAAGGTAAGTGCTGCTTTATCTGGCTGACTGCATCATGCTGAATTTCTGCACTGAAAGTTCAAACTGAGTAAACTGACAGTCTGCACTGCAGCAAGGAGCCCGCGTCATGTGTCACAAGAGGACTCAGGCAGAGGCAAGTGTCCCAGCATGGGATCTGTGTCTGGAGAGATGCTGGTTTTGTATAGCTCCTTCTGAATGGCTGCAGTTATTTTTGATTCAGTGACTTTTGGAAGCATGAAAAAATGCTAGAGATGTACACGGTGTGAGAGGAGGGGAGGAAAAGCAAGCACAGTTTCCCCCTTTGTGCTTAATACATTTATTTCAGGAAGCACAGCAGCTGGAAAGCAGAAGTATATTATGATAAAACTTGATTCTGAATAAGGAGCTTTTGTTCTTTTGCAAACAGAAACTCGTAGATGAAAGGCTTCAAAGTTCCATGACGTTTAAACAAGACAGAAAGAGATTTTTGAAATGTGAGTTCAGAATATGCATGCAGCTTTCCAGATTGCTGCTGGACTGAGGGCTGTGAATCATGTGCGGACTGATGTACTCGGCAGCTGGTAGGTTTTGGATAGTTCCTTCTGTGGAATTATCAGTCCTCTGAGGGGACAAATGTGAGCGGGGGTGCTGCTTGAGTATGAGTGGTCAGAGAATGAAACTGGTTGCTGTTGGGGGATAATGTGTTTGATTGAAGAGGAAGGAGTATTTTTCGCGGAGTGACAGAAAGAATGTAGCATATCAAAAGAAATACTCTGATAATTGAAGGTCTTTGCTGGGAGGAAAAAAAAAAAAGTAGATGAGAGAGACTGCCTTGAAAGATTAAATGATTAATAAGAAAAAGTCAAGGGTGCTTATGCAGACTGGAGTATCTGTCTGATGCACCCTGAAATGTCCAAAGTGAATTGAAGCTGATAGTCAAGTGTATGTTTCTTATTTGTTATGTCAGGGGACATAACTGCAGTACTAGTAAACAGCTCAAACTTTTTAATACTGTAAAAATCAAAATTAAGATCTGTTGTATTAAACATTTTAGTGTTTTTTCCTGTCCCTCCCAAAAAATTACATGGTTTTAGAAATCTGACATAATAGGGTAAAAAGATCAATGGAAAGTTAATTGGTTTCAAATCTTGCTCTCTGAAACAGATTTGTAACTCTTGGGCAGTTTACAAAAGTGAACTAATTGTTCAGCTTTTCTTCAGCCAGCACAGTTTACTGCCATTAAATATCTCTATCATTGGTTATCATTCAGTGTTGGTAATATAACTCATAGCACTGTATTTTACACTGAGAGATCAACTACTCAATAGGGAGATTTATTTTAAAATCCAAAAATATCTCCTAAGCCCCGGATCTGCTCTTCTTCCTCCTTCCCAGAAAAGGACAATTCAGGGAAATGTTGGTTACCAGCAGGTTTGTTATTTATGCCAACTAGATTTTGCAGTGAGAAATGCCAAGTTCTCTTTCTCATCAAAAAGCATAAGCATATGGGACAATGACCTGAGATTTTCAGAGAATGCATTTGGAATAGTGACACATTTTACTGTGTGATCATATGTTCATCTGGAAACTAATTACTGTAAGTTTTGTTTGTTACAATAGTGACTCAGTGAGTCCATTGTTTTCTTGGAAAGGATGTTAGTTTTGGGAGCAGCTACAAACACCAGTTCTCATCTTGGTGTCGCACATGGCTCAATTCTTTTTGCATGTTGCATGAATGTGGCATTTACTAAGTTTCGCGCTTCTTCCACTCAAAGGTGCAAGTCTTGACCAGACTAGAAATTTGAATGCACAAATCAGCTTCCATTATACCTTGTCTTTTCCAATTATTCATTCATGAATGATCAGTGGCTTACCAGCATAATTAGTATTTGTTAATATACATCAGAATACTCATTAGAAAATAAATCAAAAGACAATAAGTGAATACACTGCTGGGAAAAATTATAATGTAAATAATTCCTATCTAGCTGCAGACTTCTAGATTATGCACAAATAGCAACAGCACTGCATTACTTTCTCAGGTACAGCCTATAAACACTGTTTGACGTGATGACTTTGTTCCCCTTTTGTCTCACAAAGCTGTTGCTGTAAGTAAATTATAAATAAATCACACTTTCATGGTATTGTGTCTGTGGGTTTCTAAACAAGTCTTACAAATGCACTTACATCCCTATTATTATTTTAAAAGATCAGATGTTCTAATCTGCTTCTAAGTGAAGAGCACTTACTTTGAAGTGTACTAGCCTCAGAGATTTTATTAGATGACAGTTCAGCAAAGATTGGTAAATGCTGCTTTTCCTCATATTTTGATAGAACAGCCAATAATGTTACTGTTATTTTCTGACCTCTTCCATTAGTGGACTGTTGACTTCTTCATATGCAGTGACCGTATAGAAGTGACCTCAGCAACATGTGGAATATCATTCCTCGTTAAACAAATAATTTGGAGCATCTGACTCACTAAAGCTTTTCAGATTTGGTAAACATAGAAGCATAGGTTACATAGGAAAGCAGTGGCATAGACATCAATATAGTGTAATTCTCATCTCTCTTGGACTCTGTCTTTATATTCCAAGGCCATATAAAATAGTATTAAATATATACATGCATGTATGGAAAGATTAGCTTTTTTTTTTTTTTTTTTTTTTTTTTTTTTAATTCCAGCTATCTGTAGTTCTTTGAATGATGCCAGTGTTAAATTTGGTGCTTCAAGCTGAGTCTCCTTATTACTCACAGAACAGTAAGACTGCTGTCTGACTTAACTCCATTAAAAGATAGTGTTTGATACAAATGCTTTAATACTGTAGGAGGTGTGTTTGTTTGTTTGTTTGTTTTAGGAAATTTATTAAATTGAAGTTCAGAGTGGGATAAAGCAATCATAGCTCTCTGCTAGCTGACAGAAATTCAGCCATGGAGAAGCAAGGGACAGTTTTTCTAAACTGTCTTCTAGTCTTCATTATGAGATGATGCATTAAAAAGAAAACAACTGTTAATGACTACAGTTAGTAATCCATAAAACATGGAAAATAGAGCAATATATTTCCTCATTACAGGAAGGAGAGGATAGAAGTAGGCCAGAAGAAGCTTCAGGGGGCTACATGAATTCCCCCGATCTCCTTTCACCAGAAATGGAGGTCTTTCCAAGCTCTTTGTTATTAACACACCTTGGGAAACCAACATTGGCTCTCGCAGCAAGACCTTTGTGTACCTCCAGGTTCTTCTTATTTCTGCCAGCCTTGTTACTCTCGTAGTCTGTTTCCTGAACACTTATTCTTGCACCTTCTCTATTATATCTTCTAATTCTTTCTAATGTTTTGCTTTTTTCTTTGGTTTGTTGTTGTCTTGCTTTTTTTTCCTTTTCATTTTCTATAACATTCTCCCTCTTTCTTTTCCTTCTCTTCTTCTACCAAAATGGATTGCTTCATCACCTTCTTTCATTTAGTGCTGCCAGGCCATCATTTTTCTTCTTTTTTCACTTGGTCCAATTGTGTAAATTTTCCTCTTATTATTGAAACAAACAAACAAAAGCCTCTGAAAAAGCTTCAGTAATAATAATTATACATCCTATAATTCACCGTGATAGAATGTATGTGCTTCAACACTCTACCATCTCCATCTCATCCATCCCTTTTTTCTGTTTTAGATTGTTTTAGTTGTACCTTCTTCATGTCAGAGGCCGTAATCTCAGTTTAGAATAAGTAGCTGGCTTAGGAAGAGCCAGCTTTGGAATCTGTGTATACTGAAATCACCTGCTCTTAATGTAATAAAATAAAATTTCAGATTTTAACTCAGATACCTCAGGATGTCATTGTTTTTGAAAAAAGCGAATCTTGGATTTAAAGGATATATATATTGCAGTCTGTACAATCATATAAATGATTGCAACTACATAAGTTGTTGGCACTTCAAAGGGTTATTTTCAAGCCATTGTAATAGTTGTACCATTTGAATGACTTCTCATGCTTATAATTCATTCAATTAGAGGTAAATATTTGTTACTAACTTTCCTGCCCTCTCTTACTATGAAAAAGGAAGTATATTAAATACTTCCTCTATGAAAAGGAAGTATATTAAAGAGTGAGTTTCAAACCTCTGTCTTCAGTTATGTTAATAAAATCTTTCACCAAGGTCTACTTGTTCTGCAGAGGTATAACAAATTGAAGGCATTGGTTTTGGCATGTGTCACTGGAAGAATATTTGTTGAGGCGATAATTTTGAAGTGAACCAGCAGAAGTTGAAAGCTTCACTGGCATTTTGAGAGGGAGAAAACTTCCTTCTGCTTTCTTCCTGAACCTTCAAGCTTGGCAGTTTGTGGGGAAAAAAAAAAGATTCTTTCATGTAGATGATTTCTATATCAAAGTAAAATGCAGGTCTTCACTACTGCATTTATTATTACTAGACTTGGTATTTGGCAGAAGTCAAAGACATGTGTCTTACACTGCCAGAACTGAACTGTGTTCTTAAAAGAGGTTTCTTTTTCTCCCAACCATATGGGAACTAAGGTCTTGCCTGATGAGACTTGGTCAGGTTACAGGAGCACCTGTAGTTCAGTTTCTGTCAAACGTATTGCTTCCTTTTTTTGAGAGTGAAAAGAGTTGTCTTGTATGGATCGGAGTCACTGATGTACACCAGGCTGTTCTTGCTGGAGGGGCATCTTTCTACTGCAGATGTCTCAACTGTCAATATTTCTCAAGGCGATTGCTGTATTGGGTGACATCTGTAACACTAGCTATGTTTACTGTGCTGGGCCCCAACAGGCTGTAATTTGGGGTCTGTTAGTGTTGCAGTACATCTCATTGCTGTTGTGCGGAGTGCCCCAACATGGAGTCTGAGATCAGACAGGAAACCTTTTTGGAAACATTCATGAGAAATATAGAGATCTGAGATTAAAATCAAGGAAATTTCTAAGCATCAGGCACAGTAAATTGTTGCATCCCCTCCAAGAGTAAAAGTTTTGTGTCTTCTTACTGGAATTATATTGTCCTTCCATTTTCTGAGTACAG